TGTAAATAAGAAGTGAAACATTATTTCAACTTCCTGAGAATCCCCTCCCCCAAAGCATAATCATGTTATATGAGTTTCCTAAGGCTGCTTTAAGAAAATACCAAAATCCTCAAGGCTTACAACAACAGAAACTTATTACCTCATAGCTCTGGAGGTCAGAATGCAAAATTGGTGTTTCTGGGCTAAATTCTGTGTCAGTGAAGCTGCATTCCTTTTGCAGCTTCTTGTCTTTCCAAATTCTGGAGGCTGTCCACATTCCTTTTCTTAGGGTTCCCACCTTCCCATCACTTCAATCTCTTGTTTCCATTTTCACTTCTTCTTCTAATAATTTGACTTTTCTACCTCTTTTTCATAGGGACCCATGAGATATTTTAGTGTCAACATGATAATCTAGGATAAACTTTCCATGCCAAGACTCATAACTTACTCACTTCTCCAAAATCTGTTTTGCCATATAAAGAAAAATATTCCCAGTTTCGGGATGGTAGTACATGGGCTTCTTTGTGGGGGACTATTGTTCTGTTACCACACACATCTCTCTTGATTGTTATACAAACCAGTTGCTATAACAAAAAACCTATGTATGGGGCAATGTCACACAGTATGAATGGCAAGACAACTTATTTGAATATTTGAAGAATTATTCTAGTGGTGCAGTGATGAAACAATTTGCAAAATAAAAGTAGAAACCGATTAAGAAGTTCTATGAGATTTTCTCAAATGCAGAGAAATCAAACAACACACTAAATAATATCAATAGTCAAAGAAGAAATCACAGGAGAATTTAGAGAATACCTTGTGGCTACTGAGAATGAAAACACAACATACAGAAACCTATGATGCAGCAAAAGTGGTGGTTGAGGTAACTTTATAGCTGTAAATGCAGACATTTAAGAAGGGAAAAGATCATAAATCAATAACTTCACTATATACCTTTAGAAATTAGAAAAAAGAAGCAAAAATAAATTGGAAACTTAAAGTAGCAGAAGGAATAAAATAATAAAAATTAGTGCAGAAATAAATAAAATGTGAATAGAGAAACAACAGAGAAAATCAACAAAACTATGAAGATTCTTCACAAACATCAACACAATTCACAAACCTTTAGTAAGATTGACTAAGAAAAACAAAGAGAAGACACAAGTAACTAAAATCAGACGCTCCTAACAATTTTACAGAAATAAAAAGGATTATAATAGAGTACTATCAATAATTATACACCCAAAATTTAGGTAACCCAGATAAAATAGACAAATTTCTAGAAACCCATAACTACCAAGACTGAATCAGGATGAAATAAGAAACCTGAATAGACCTATAACTAGTAAGGACAGTGAATCAATAATTAAGAATCTCCCAACAAAGTGAAACCCAGGACCACTTGGCCTCACTGGTGAATTTTTTTTCCAAAAATTTAAAGGAGTGCTAACACTAATCCTCTTCAAATTGCACAAAATTTTTAATACAAAGGAAGACTTCTTAACTTATTCGAACTCATTCTGAGATTCATCCTCAGGCCAGCATTTCCCTGATAACAACACTAGGCAAAAGCACCTTAAAAAAACTACAGACAAATATCTCTTGTGTATACTGATGCAACAAACCTCAACACAACATTAGCAAACCAAATTCAACAGTGTGCTAAAACAATGGAAATTATTTTAATTGGGATTTACTTCTCGAATGTATGGATGATTCAACATACGAAAACCAAATAATATATTATACCACATTAATAGAATGAAAAGAAAAACTACATGATCATCTCATTCTTCAGAAAAAGCATTTGACAAAACTCAGCATATTTCATGACAAAAGAAAAAAATCAGTAACCTACGAATAGATGGAATCCTCCACAAATTGATAATATTATATAAGAACAACCCACATCTAATATCATGCTTGATGACAAAAGTCTGAATGTTTTTCCCTAAGATCACAAACAAGAGAGGGTTGCACACTTTGGCCACTAATATTCAACACAATAATGAAAATTCCAGGAAAAGCAATTAGACAAGAAAAATTTACAAGAGGCTTTCAAATGGGAAAGGAAGAAGTAAAACCCTTTCTGTTTGCCGATGACATGTTTTATATGTTGCAACTCTAAAGATTATACAGGTACACACACACACACACACACATACTAACACACATACACACACACTCACACATAAACCACANTGGAATTGTAATAGATAAGCATGATATCGGGGGGAGGGCAATAGATGGGGAGAGGGGAGTTGCTATTTTATGAGTATGAAAAGGGTAACTATTGCATTGTTCTGTACACCTGAAACTAACAATAAAAAAATTTAAAAAAAGAGAAGATAGTCAGTGGTATTTTAAAACTATATAAGATGTCAGAGGGGTAGTACCTTGGGGGAGGGTGTTATCACTTTATGAAGAATGTAAATGTCTATTATGGTGCCTTGTACACCTGAAATTAACAAAATAAAGTAAAGCAAATGACTGAGGTAAAAAAAAGTCTCGGATGCAGTGGAGATCAGGCAGCAGTTAGAAAGAGCAAGGAGGAAGGGGTGGGCTGACATGGATGGTGAGCGCAAAACGGTTAAGTGAAGAAAGTCAGAGGCAGGACGCTGTGAACTATGATCTCCCTCCCTCCCTTCTCTCTCTCTTCATATACATTGATGTCAAAAGACCTAAAAGATACGTACCAAACTCTTACCTCTAATCACTCTGCAAGTGTGGGATTTCTGGGAGCAGAGCTCACTTCAAAACTCTTTTGATCTATAGACTTCTAGATTATTCTATACTAAACATGAAATGACACATAACTTTTTAAAAAAGAAGATAAAATTTAAGTAGAAGTGGAGTGGAGGCCTTACTCTGGGTATTACCTGTATCCTGGTCCTTCTGGTCGTCAGAGGTCACCAGAGTAAGGTGTTTGGTGACCGCTGGCTGCCCATCGTGCTCCACCTGGCAGGTAAGCACCACATCCTCCCTTTGAGGAGATAAATTCATGAGAAAAGAGTTGATCTGGTCAAAGGTTCCATCCTTGTTCTCTATGAGGGTCGAGGCCGTTTCTTTTTGGGACAAGTTTCCGTTCTCCAACCAGGTCAGCTGTAGGCGCTGGGGGTAGAATTTCTTCACCTGACAGGCAATGACCTTCAGCTGGTTCCATGACAAAGGCTGTTGGGTAACTTCCAAGGTAGGTGAAACTGAAACAGCACAGGCAGAAGTTCTTATCTCATGGAACAGACAGATCACAGGGGAGGGCTTTATAACTTAGCTCCCCCCACCACAGCAAGGGGGTCACCCAGGACACTGCTAAACATGCAGTAGGTGCTCAAACACTGAGCGCACTCCTTGTATATGAGTGAAATCACTAAACACAGTGTCCTGCACACAGTACGTGCTCAAGGACTGGAAGCTGCGATTAGGGTCAAATGAGGGAAATCAACAAACACAGGTCCCGGCATGCAGTGGGGATGGACTAACTGTAGCAAAATGAATGCACTCACCAAGCACATAGGGGCTTGGCTATAGTAGGTGCTCAGTAATTGATTTGCTATTGGTAAAGCAGATGAAGCTACTGAGCACAGAGCTTAGTACAGAGCACGGAGTGTAGTAGGTGTTCCCTGGCAGCTGCTGCCTGTGAATGGAAAGGAGTGACCTCACATCTGGATACTGGTGACGGGAAGAACTGTTAAGAACATTCCAGGAAAACAAACTCTGGAGTACAGAGCAGGGGGAGAAGCAGTCTTGGAGGGAGGGGGCCAGTTGGGCTGGTCTGGGCGTGAGGGGATCTACCTCGGATGGTGTCAGACAAGTTGGCAGTCCCACGAAGAGGAGGGCCTCCCTTTAGGTTGACGTGGTCCACCTGGCAGATGATCTGGGCATGGACGTCCCCTGGGGCCAGCACCACCCTGGCTGTGCTGGAGACGCTGTAGGAAGCGCTGTCTCCCTCTGGGTACACTGTGGTCTGGGAGGCTGGGAGCTCATTTCCATCTTTGAACCATTTCAGGGTGATGTTTTGGGGGGAGAAGCCGTGGGACTCACAGGTGAAGCTCACTGTCTGCCCAGGCGGGGCCCTCCCCGTGGGGCCTGATACCACGGGGGGAGAGGGTTTGGCTACAAAAGAAGCATAATGAACAATAAACATGATTGTGATTATCACCAGTAAGGATAAGCATGCAACACTGTTGAAAACCTTCTCATTAGTATTTTTTAATTCTTTTTTTTTTAAAGATTTTTATTGGGGAATTGGGGGAAGGGGAACAGACAAGTTGCTGTCCTTTTGTTCTTCAGTCTAGTTGTGGAGGACGTTGCTTCACTGGCCCAAGTTGGCACCATCATTGCGCTCTTCCCGGGTGAGGCAGATCAGTCGCCGGCTTCTGGACGGCCGCTCACAGTGGCTGCTGGCCGCTCACGCTGGCTGCTGGCTACACACGGTAGCCCATGGCAACCCACTGCCACAGGGACTGCAGCCTACGCCATCACCAGCAACTCAGGGCAGCCCAGCTCCAGGTTGAGCTGTTGTTCAGCATCTTAGCTGTAGAGGGCCGTGTCACTGGCCCTCATATGTGGGATCCGAACTGGGGTCCTCTGGTGTCCCAAGCCAGTTCTTAACCATCACACCACTCGGCCGGCCCATATTTTTTAATTCTTGTAATAATGCTAAGAGGCCGTTGTCATCATCTTCATCGACAGAGGAGTACACACAGGTCCCTGGAGGTGAACTCTGAGTAAGGGGCAGGGTCAACATGCAATTCCAGGCTTGAGTTCAAAGTCCACTTTCTTTGCAGGTGATTTCCACCAGTTTGGACGTAGGATCAAAATTACTGATCACACTTCATATTAACTGTTCCTAGCTGGCTTCCAATCCTCACAGACCCCTGACGGGACTGTGATTACCAGCATTTCCCATACGAGGAACCTGAGGACTGGAGGGAATCTGAGACTTGCCAAGACCATCGCTCACTGAGGATCTGCTCTCTCACCAGGCTCCCTGCATCCTGATACCATCCTGCAAAGGTCGGTGTGATTATCTACCTTCTGTAGGTGAGAGGACTGTGGCCCAACAATGGGTACTGGAGACAATTTGGAAATAATCACCTTGATTTTGGGTGCTATTTTGTGCTGGGTGACCCAGTTCCTTTCCACAATCCTAAACGTAGTCCATAATTATTCCCATTTTATAAATGAGGAAACTGAGGCTGAGAAAAATGAAGGGACCATCTCCTCACCACACACTATGTCCCAGGGATATTTCCTGGGGGCCCCCAAATGTTTATGTGCATGAACAGATCAAGAGCCCCACCTTCACAGGCCTGACACTGAGCACTGCTCTCCTTTCATCTCTCTGAGACTGTGATTTCAAAGTGCCCAGACCTGGGGACCCTGTAGCTGTAAATGAAAGACGTGGGCTCCTGACAACTGAGTCTAGAATACGATCTCTTGCACATGAGGGGCCTCAGGCAGCCTCTCAGAAACGCTCTCCCTCCTCATCCTCACTCTGTAGACACAGGAAAGGGGGAGCATGGTGTTGCTGGCATTGCAGTGGCCCTTCTCTGCTCTATCAAGGCTACTGTCCTCAGGCTGCTTCTATAGGCTGCTCAGTGAAGGAAAAACACCAGAATGAAGGGGACAAAGACTCCGGAAAGCCTAAAATTTTTATTTAAATTATAAATGGAATACAATATTATATTAGTTTCAGGTGTACACCTAGAGATTTGACATTTATATACCATACAATGTGATCATTATAGTAAGTGTAGTAACCACCTGACATCATGAAAAGTCATTATGATATTATTGACTGAATTCCCTGTGCTGTGCACTATATACCTGTGGTTTGTTTATTTTATAAGTGGAAGTCTGTACCTCCTATTCCCCTTCACCTTTATCACCCGTTCCCCGATCTCCGTCCCTTCTGACAGCCATGTCTCTTCTCGTAGCTATGAATCTGTTTTTGTTCTTTTTCTTTAGAATCCACATATAAGTGAAATCATATGGTACTTGTCTTTCTCTGTCTGACTAATCTCACTTAGCACAATACCCTCTAGAACA